AGGAGAGATATGGCCACCAACAAAAGGTACTTTTGCCAAAAGCTCAGTATGACTGGATCAATTTAAGATTCTAGGATTTTAAATCAATCGGTGACTATAATTCTGCCATGTTCCAAATAACATCTAAACTAAAGTTATGCGGACAAAAAGTCACTGATGCTGATATGTTGGAGAAAACCTTTTCTACAATGCATATTTCTAATATGCTGCTACAGCAGCAATATAGAGAAAAGGGTTTTAAAAAATACTCCGATTTAATATCAGTATTATTGGTAGCTGAGCAAAATAATGACTTTTTGATGAAAAATCATAATCTGAGACCCACTGGTTCTAGTCCTTCGGTTTATGGTCCATCTGGCCATAATTTAGCCACTGAATCAAATGCAACATACAGTGGCAGTAGAAGGCATTTTAAACGTGGACATTTTAATGGTCATAATAACAAGCCACACCGAGGATATAAACGGGTCGACAGACCAAATTACAAGGGCAAGGGCAAACAAAAAACCCATCAAATAAATCGCCCTACAAAACCCTCGGTGAAGACGGCTTGTTACAAGTGTGGCATGACGGGGCATTGGGCTAACAAATGTCGTACTGCGAAACATCTGGTGGAGTTATTTCAATCTTCCATGAATTTGAACAAAGGCAATAATATGGAAGCTAATTATGTCAATGACACAACTCCATCTCTGCCAAAATTTGACGTGTCTGATTTTTTCGCGGATGATGCCATTATGGATGATGCTTTTGCCTTAAACCAAAATGTTACTAAATAAAATAGTAGACTCCTCATGTTGTACAATACTACAATACTAGTTTTATGTACTTTTTCTTTCTTCCCCTTTTTGTTTGGTTTTTAATTAAATATGTATAATGTATGTACTCTTATGTTAAATAAAATGCATAATTTGTGATCAAGCTAATGTTTATTTATATATATTGAAGATATGGATCATTCAAATGATAAAGAGTTATGTCTGATAGACAGCGCCACAACGCACACCATTTTGAGAAATAAAATATATTTTTCTCAAATGACTTTAGTTGAAGCTAAAGTCAATACAATATCAGGTGTTGCGAAGCTCATTGAAGGCTCTGGGAAAGCATATGTGATGCTCCCTAACGGGACAAAAATTATTATAAATGACGCTCTGTACTCCAGCAAATCGCGGAGAAATTTATTAAGCTTTAAAGATATGCGTCAAAATGGTTATCACATAGAAACCATGAATGAAAATCAAAAGGAATATCTTTGTCTTACAACAACTAAATCTGGCACTAAATATATTTGTGAAAAAATGCCAGCATATTCCTCAGGACTATATTTCACATATATTAGTCCATTCGAAATAAATTTGGTTTCTAACACAAAGTTAGATGATCGGAAAACATTCATGTTGTGGCATGACCGTTTAGGTCACCCAGGCCAAGTAATGATGCATAAAATCATTAAGACTTCATTTGGACACCCATTAAAGAATATCAGGGTTCCAGTATCAAGTGATTTTCCTTGTAAGGTCTGTTCTCTTGGAAAAATGATCATCATGCCTTCAATAAACAAAATTGCAACTGAATCACCTGCATTTTTAGAAAGGATTCAAGGAGATATTTGTGGGCCGATAGCTCCACCATGTGGACCATTTCGATATTTTATGGTGTTGATTGATGCTTCAACACGTTGGTCACATGTTAGTCTTTTATCGACTAGAAATTTAGCATTTGCTAAACTCCTTGCTCAAATCATACGATTAAGAGCTCATTTTCCGGATCATTCTATAAAGAGAATCCGACTTGACAATGCAGGAGAATTTACATCCCAATCATTTAACGACTATTGTATGTCGATTGGGATTGATGTGGAGCATCCTGTTGCTCATGTCCATACACAAAATGGTCTTGCTGAATCTTTGATTAAACGATTACAATTAATCGCTAGACCATTATTAATGAAGTGTTATTTACCTTCATCAGCTTGGGGACATGCTATTTTACATGCAGCAAATTTAATTCGGCTTAGACCGACTGCATATCATGAATATTCTCCAATGCAATTAGTTACTGGACAAGAGCCTAACTTAGCACACATTAAAATATTTGGTTGTGCTGTTTATGTTCCGATTGCTCCACCTTATCGTACAAAAATGGGTCCTCAAAGAAGGTTGGGAATTTATGTTGGATTTGAATCTCCCTCAATAATCAAATATCTTGAACCGATGACTGGTGACTTATTCACCGCACGATTCGCTGACTGTCATTTCAATGAGACAGTATTCCCAACCTTAGGGGGAGAAACTAATAAATCGGACCCATGTACGAAAGAAATAACATGGAATGCAACAGGATTATCACACCTTGATTTCAGATCAAATATATGTGAGCAAGAGGTGTAAAATATAATCCATTTACAAAATGTTGCAAATCAGTTGCCTGATGCATTCACAGATACAAAGAAAGTGACAAAGTCACATATTCCTGCTATGAATGCTCCAGCCAGAATCGAAATTCCAACAGAGAATTTTGAAAAATCTCTTACAAATGATTCTTCTATACGCAAAAAGTGTGGCAGGCCACTTGGATCAAAAGATATAAAACCAAGAAAAACTAAAAGGCAGGAATTGATCTGTGATGCCAAAGATGTTCATCCTTCTGAACAAGAACATGAACAATTTGAAAATACTAGCATAGAAAATGATATTGACAAAACAAACATCTCAAATGATGATCCAATTTCCTTAAACGAGGAAGATATTCCAGATAATGATAGAAACGTTGATAATTATGAAATTTCAATAAATTACGTTTCTACTGGAATACAATGGAATCGAAAAGATATTGATATTAATGAGATATTTGTCTATGCCGTTGCCACAAATGTTATGAATGAAAACAATGACAATGAGCCAACATCTATTGAAGAATGTCGGAAACGTCACGATTGGCCAAAATGGAATGAAGCTATTCAGGCTGAATTAAAATCACTTGAAAAACGTGATGTTTTTGGACCAATAGTCCCTACGCCAAAAGGCGTAAAACCGGTGGGCTTTAAATGGGTATTTGTGCGTAAACGCAATGAGAAAAATGAAATTGTAAGATATAAAGCCCGACTTGTTGCCCAAGGGTTTTCTCAAATGCCGGGAATTGATTATGAAGAAACCTATTCTCCAGTAGTTGATGCAACTACATTAAGGTTTCTCATTGGCATGTCTGTTTTTGAAAGGCTGCAAATGCGCCTAATGGATGTAGTGACTGCATATTTATACGGTTCACTCGATACAGACATTTATATGAAAGTTCCCGGAGGGTTTAAAATGCCTGAAACTTACAACTCGAAACCACGAGAAATGTTTTCCATTAAACTACAAAAGTCATTGTATGGACTAAAACAATCTGGACGAATGTGGTATAATCGTCTCAGTGAATATCTTCTCAAAGAAGGATACAAGAATGATCCGATTAGTCCATGTGTTTTCATTCGGCGATCAAATTCGGGATTCGTCATAATTGCAGTATATGTTGATGACTTAAACATTATTGGAACTCCCGATGAAATTGAAAATACTGCAAAATATCTTATGAAAGAATTTGAAATGAAAGATCTCGGGAGAACCAAATTTTGTCTCGGACTTCAAATTGAGCATTTGAAGAATGGAATTTTCATCTATCAATCCAATTACACCGAGAAAGTTTTGAAGAGATTCTATATGGACAAAGCTCATCCTTTGACTTCACCAATGGTCATTCGATCTCTCAACATACATGATGATCCATTCCGTCCCCAAGAAGACGACGAAGAAATACTCGGTCCAGAAGTACCATATCTGAGTGCTATAGGAGCTTTAATGTATTTAGCTAATAATACTAGACCAGATATTGCATTTTCTGTAAATTTATTAGCTAGGTACAGCTCATGTCCAACAAGGCGTCATTGGAACGGGGTCAAACACATATTCCGTTATCTTCGCGGTACAACTGATCTCGGCCTATTCTACCACAAAGATGAAAAAGCCGATTTAATCGGATATGCAGACGCTGGATACTTATCAGATCCTCAAAAGGCGAAATCACAAACCGGGTACGTATTTACTTATGGTAACACCGCAATCTCATGGAGATCTATGAAGCAGACATTGACAGCTACATCATCAAATCATTCGGAGTTAATTGCATTATATGAAACCGGAAGAGAATGTGTGTGGCTACGGTCTATGATTCAACACATCCAAAACGAATGCGGTATGAAGCCTATTACTTGTAATCCTACTGTGATCTACGAAGACAACACTGCGTGCATAACTCAGATTAAAGAAGGCTACATCAAAGGAGACAGAACAAAACACATATCACCAAAGTTCTTCTCTACTCATGATCTCGAGAAAGAAGGGACGATCAACATTCAACAAATCAGATCCAGTGAAAATCCAGCCGATCTCTTCACCAAATCTTTACCCCCGAAGAAGTTCATGGAACTTGTACAGAAAATCGGCATGCGACGTCTTCATAATGTATACTAAATTCAGGGGGAGTATTTGAATGCACTGCACTCTTTTTCCCTTCATCTAATACTGCCAGCAAATTGTGTAGAATCATTCCTAGATGATTCATCCCCTAAATCTGGCTAGTATAAATAGGGCTAATTCAATTCTTTGTAAATTAACTTAGAAACTCAGAAATTCAGAAATTATTCAGATATTAAGAAGAAGTAATTTAGAGCTTTTTATCTATATATCTATCTCTTAAAATTGATCTTCATCCTCTTCATTATACAACAAATATAAAATTTTTAGACATTATCTAACAATGTCTTCAAAACATTCTATTCATTCTAACACTTATCATATACGTAGTATGAAGTACTTCGTATCACTTGACAAATAGTATGATTCATGAGGTAGTGCTTACTAAACTTTGTTTTGTGGCTCGCACAGCCGGCACATGTGTGAACCTAGTCTTGTAAATAACAAAAAGTAAACCCAAATTTAGGGGATATATATAAGACACCTAAACACACCATGAAACCCGGGAAAGATATACTCAAACCAAATGGCACTAATATAATGTAGTTCTGTAAATAATAATCTTTTCTACTCTAAACGTATGTTTTTCTTGAAATAACAAAATTTATCTAAACCCCAATGCTATAAAAAATACCTAGTACCTTCAAGTCCATGAGAAGATGTGAAAAAAAAAATCCCAAAATTCATTCAGTAATTAAATTAATTACTAAAGACATAAAAACTAAGAATCCGCAATGGTAACCTCAACTTCCACCCTTGGTTCAATGGTAATTGAGGTTATCTGTTTGACGACTTCGGGTGAGCTGAAGAGGTCAATCACCCTCTTGTGCACGCGAAGTTCAAACCTGTCCCAAGTGTTGGTACCTGTTTCAAACAAAATGTCACTTATTGAAATCTAGACTCAGGGATGTCTTTATCATAAAATAAAGAGTCCGTCACATATTTGCCATAAAGAGTTCAAACCCTTGGCAACTCCATAGTTGCAGGAAAATAAAGAAGATAGTTGTGCCATTATATAATTGTGAGTTTGTAACTTCTAAAAGAAAGAAAATGTAGTATGGCTGCACAAAAAGTAGAAAATAAAATCATACTCCCTCTGTCCCATTAAAAGGTTCCCGTCCACTATTCACATGGTCAACTTAGATCATTTTTAATCTTTTACTTTATAAATCAAACTTTTATCAAATTTACATTTTTTATCAGACTTTGTAGCGGTTTTAATCTAGTTTCTGAATATTAATTTTATTTACTAAAACAAATAAGAGTGAATAGGGATTAAGTTGATTGATCATCAATCAAGCATCGTAAACCGTTCACGGGAATCTACTAACAGGACAGAGGGAGTAGTTAAAAAGAATAGGAGGAAAAATAATAAAGTTACTGGAGTTCAGATTACGGAAGCGTTAGGGCAGACAAAAAAGGAGAGTACATCTGCCCGAAAGGGACATGAGTATTACTCCGTATTCATTATAGTAAATTTAGTCCCCCTGCACATATTTTACTCTGTTTGTCTAGCTTATCTGCTGCTTATTTATTAGTTGAGGTCCAAATACAATCCTAAATGGGTCTATAAAATAACAACCAAACTATTACTATGTCCCCAAATTGCATATTCAAGGCTGATGACCAAATTTAGTACTACCTCTGTCCCGCTAAATTTGGTACAAGAGAAGGTGGTGCAGTTCTTAAGAAAACTTTGTTTATGTGATTCATAATGAATTGATAAAGTAAGAACGATTTAGAGGGACAGAGGGAGTATTAATCTATGACAGGAACCTACCATTCTTAAAGAAAGTGAAATCGAAATAAAAGAGCAATATTACCTTCTCCGCATGGGGCCTTTCTAGTAGTAATAAGAAGAACTTTCGTGGGAATCCTAACTGGTCCCTTAACCCTGAGACTCTTGTCCTTGGCACCTCGGACCAAATCACTGCACACTGTTCAATATTTAACATCAGGAAAAAATCAATTAATTGAGTACAATAATCAAAAGAAAATACAATAAAATGTCAAGATCAATATCAAGGTGAACAAAATTCATCCCAATGGTGCTTGATGACCATAATTAAAACAAATTTCATCACAGAAAAACATACTCATCTTAGAGCTAATGTTTTTCAATGAAATACTAAGACAGACCAGACCGTATCTGCCTCCATAGACATGACATTGTATAGAATCATTAAATAATGGTGTATCCAATTTCCAAAAGCGGATGCATATTGCTTCTAATAGAGACAGAGGAAGAGAGTGACAGACAGAAAGGGTGACCTTTCTCAAGGTTCTTGACATTCTTAGAAGAGAGAGTGATTCTGATCTTATGGATTTGCTCCTGGGGCTCCTCCATACCAGGCTTCATTGGCTTCATCGCTGTGTATGCCATTCTTCCAATTTGTTTGGAGTGCTAGCAGCAAAAGCCTATATCACAATAAAATCAGCACAAGTAGCAAAGTATCAGCTACAGAACACTACACGTCCTGCTCATCTATCAAACTACAAGTATTTATCAAGGTTCGAAACAGTGGCGTATCCACTATGGGGGCAGTGGGGCAGCTGACTGTTTTACCCCAACTCATCTCCTTTATATATAACCTAAAATTTTATAGAAATTCCTCAAAATAGGAGTTAAACATGGGAATAATTATCAAATAGGATTAAGACTGGTTTCTTCTCTAAATATAGGATTTATGTGATCCTATTAAAAGAATTAAAGGATAAAAAAATCACTAAATTTTGTTATGTTTAACTTCTATTTAGGTATATTTCTTAAATTTTATCAACAATTTCATTCGTTGCACACAGGTAATATAAAATGATCTTCTTTTTACACATATTAGTACATTTATAATTTAAACTAAATGTAATCGAACAATATTAATAATGTGATCTGTTATTTATGAAATATGTGATTAAATTCTTCTGTAAGCTACTGGTTCAAAAAATATTTCTGGATAAGCCACTGGTTCAAAACTGATACATACAGAAGTCCACATTTATCAAACTTAATATATTACCTCCCTCGCAAAACACTGTCAATTTCAAAATTTTGACATATTATATCTTTTTATTGAATTTTTTTTATAATTTAAAAATTATATGAAAATGTTCTTTGATAAAAGTACTTTCATAAAAGTAAAAAATTTAAAACTTCCATAATATTATACTAATCAAAATCATGGTTTAAATTTTATGAAATAGCAAACTTTTTGGGACGGAGCTAGTAATATCAAAGCTGTAGTTAACATTATACGTAGTGTGTGTGTGTGTGTGTGTGTGTATATATATATATAGCTGAAACAACAATTTAATGTGCAGAAACTTAATCGATGGAAAATAAGAAAATACCGAGTATTAATAATCAGAAAATATTAAAAGTTGCAGAAAACTAATATTAACAGAAAATTAACAAAAATAAGCATCAAACTGAGAAGCATTCAGGAACGGCATGTGAAGGGGGTAGAGGAGGCAACACCTGTAATTGCGACAGATGAAGAAAAAGAGTCGGATGGTGCGGCAACCCTATAGAACGACCAACATTCTTATTCTTTGGACGGATTAGGTTATATAAGTCAGACCGGGTCACCCATTACATTGGACTCTACTCTTGGGCCGCAGACCAAATCGCAACAACGGGCCCAAACTATACTATTCTAGATCTTTATGTTAATTTGGCACTTCGATTTTAGTTTGCTTTCCGAATTTTTTCCTTTACATCTTAACCCTTGTAATCTCTTTTATTTACTTGAATAAATTATCGGTGTTTAAAAAAAACGATCAACTAACTAATATCGCCGTTTACGTAAGTCTACAAGACTACAACCTCACTTTTAGGTTGAAGTCTAAACAATTTATTACCTCCCTCTCACTCAACTTTGTCAAGTTAATTTTAGGTGGGAAATTAGAATAATAAAATTTGTGTGATTGAGGTTTGTGAAAAGAAAAGAAAAATGAACAGAACCACAAAAACATTGTTTATTTGCTTTAAAAGGAAAGTGGCAAAGTTTTTTGGGACAAACAAAAAAGGAAAGTTGGAAAAGTTCAGTGGGACGGGGGGAGTATATGTTATTAAAAAGTGGGCCTAGTAAGTCCAAACTGTAGCACCGTCCCCAAGCATATTTACTTTTAGTAAATTATGTAATAAACCTTGAAGAATGATTTATGAGTTTGCGTAAATGTAAATTTTTATTAATTCTTTTACGTCAATAGTAAATTGCATGTGGGGCCCACGCCCGGACCGGGGGGGTCGCCCGATAATTCCCGAACCACATATTATATTCATCTTGGTCTAGATGACATCTATATGGTGGTGGATATTTTATTTGGGTCATAAGAAAGGCATGGAGTTGACCGGTTGGTCAAACGGGGCCCAATTACCGGTATTGATAATTTAGCGGATAACAGTCCGAAACGAGTTTCGGAGACTCCTAAATTAATGTTGGGGAATGTACATCCATTCTAAAGGCCCATAAATTATTGGGAACGCGTGATATATTTTATTTGGTCCGATAAAATAAAATATGATTAAAACAGTCCGAGAAATACAACTTTCGGGGCCGATTGTACACACCGGGATATAATGGGATGACCTCCCACATAAGTGGGGGCCACCCCACGACCCAATGTGCTGCAAATGACAAGGAAGCAGCTGGGGGGTGTACCTAGTAGGTGGGAAGTCTCCAAGAGACAAAACTCATACCCACCATTACCCTACTCCCTTGTTTTTATGGGTTGACTTAGGGGGGTGGGGATAATCACTCATCCTAGCATCTCCTCAACCATCCACTCGGCCAAGGCAGAGAGAGAAGCTCTAGGGAAGTCTCCTCTCATAGTCCAAGCAGCAAGGAAGAGAATCCAAAGAGAAGAGAGTTGTTTTTGAGGTGAGAACTCAATAAACAATCTTTAACTAGTTTTATTATTGTATGATTTTTAAGAAATCATATGGTGGATTAAACCATGAGTTCTACACGTTTAAAAGTGTAGAATACCGATATAAAGTGGTGTTAATTAACTTAGAAGAGTTGGTGAATCGATAGGAGTCGAAATCCAGCTTTTCACTTTCAATCGGCTTAGAACGGGGATTTATCGAGGGGCTTATCAAAGGAAACTATTGTAGCACATCACGAGGTGATGATGGCTGACTATATTTCTTATAATTAGTGAGTTAATTTCATAAGATTGTCTAAAGTAATTATATGGGATTTTCATGGATTATTAATGATTAATAATGCCTAAATGAAAATAATATGGATATGAGTAAGTGAAGCATGATATACAAATTTAGAATAATTGTGTATGATTATGAGGAATGAATGGAACGACATGTTAATGGAACTACTATGATGACATTGTGATAAAATCTACTTTACTTCATGTATGAAATTCATGAATGGATTAAAGTGATATTTTTGATATTGAGATCAAACTATACTTGGGTTGAGAAATCAATGGAAATGAAATGCCAATTGGAAAATAGGAACTTGGCATGTTCTAATATTATACGATTAGTATCAAAATACTAGTCGGGAATTTATATAAATAAATGATGAAACAAATCCTAAGATGTAGGATTGTGAATAGATATGCCTTAAGTAGTCTCAAGAGATACTTAAGGTTGAATTGTATGAACACTAAGATGTGATAGGGGTAGGCCTAAAGGTCACCTACGGGAATTGATTCTAGGCATATGATTTGCTTGAGAATTTGATTATGAAATAATTAGAGTTGGACTCTAGGATGACATGGAAATGTAGTTGGGCCGAGCCCATGCCATGTAATATGATTAGCATGGAAACGTAGTTGGGCCGAGCCCTTGCCATGTATATGTGAGCTCCGTGGAAACGTAGTTGGGCCGAGCCCTTGCCACGAAGTTATGGTTGGTATGGAAACGTAGTTGGGCCGAGCCCTTGCCATACAAATTTTGATATGTTATATTGAGTCAGAGGATTGTATAGAAATGTAGTTGGGCCGAGCCCATGCTATACAATTGGGGCTCGAGGGGACCCCACGGGGTTATCGTGACTTACGGTCACGGGGGAATGGGAATGATGAATCACAAACGAATATGGGCCCACGGGCCGACTACTTGACTCTATGTAAAGTAAGTACAGTAAAGGAAAAAGGGGTAACCGAGGGTTATGACCCATAATATAATAGTACCCTAAGTTGAGGGTCTTAGAAATTAAAACATCAATTATAGTCAGTATAGTTGCTATTGTACTTGTCAAATGTTTCCAAGTACTGACCTCCCCTTCACGGGGGAGGCCACCTCACAGTTTCAGGTAGAACTTGAAGGTTGCTACCATTGCCCGCTGCTTCGGGAGGAATCAAGGGAGGAAGACGTGGTTCGTGCTTCTTCCGTTCTGTTTTAAAAACAATTACATTAATGCTCATGGATACTATTTTTCTGAATAATTACTTTGGGGGCTTGTATGCCTAGTTATGCCAAGTGTGGCTTGAACAATTGTATTAATGCTTCCGCTATTTTAATTGCATGTTTTACATTATGTTTGTTTATGGATGTACTATGTGTGAATGGTATTCAAGACGCCTTGTATAGTATGGATGAGTTGGACTACGGTTGACTATTCGTACTGTACGGCGGGTTGTTGACGTGTCCGGGTAGGTCCGGGGCGTGACAATTTAATTGGTATCAGAGACTTAGTTCGTAAACATCATAATGAAGCTTCAAAACTTCTTTTTGAAAATGAATTTGAAAACCATGAGCATAAGGTTTTGTACTTATAGAAGTTTTGGTACTTGAGTTGCAATGTCTCTAATTGTTAAGATGGTACCCTTAGCAGTTGGTATGGCGGTGATTTGAGCCAAAGGATGTCTTTAAGTACCTATCCGTCAATTGACATTTGATACGAGTCTAATGACTCATTCTCAATTTCTTTCAGAAATGGAACGTACCAGGAAAGTAACTAGAAGGAAACCGACTGGCCGAGCACCGGGAGGATCCGTGCAAGGCAGTAGAGGGGCTTCTAGGGTGTCCAGAGGACAGGGCCGTGGAGGCCAAGATCAGACCGTGAGTGACAGTTATGTTGAAACAGTCAACGAGTCCTATGAGTCCGAGGAGGATTCGACGTATCAACCGGGAACGGAGCCGGTTGAGACCCCATATGATGGGGAGTATGATGATGCTAGTGAGGGGAGCGACGATGATGACGCTCTGGAAAGGATGGAGGAACTACTCCGTCAATTTCAACAGGATCGCCAAAGGCGCCGAGCAAGGCGTGCTTTGGGAGGGGCTTCAAGAAGGGGAAGCCATGCGGGTTCTAGGGGACATGTGGAGTCTCGAGTAGATCGAGGTGTCGAGGTCCCGATAATAAGGATCTCGAAGTACCTCAAAGAAGCAAGAGATTTGGGGTGTAAACCGTTCGATGGAACGGGAGATATATCTGTTGCGGCGGAGTGGATCAAGAGGTTCAATGAAGCGGCCCTTGATATGCAGCTGCCGCCAAACATGAAGATGAGAGTAGCAACAAGGTTGCTAGAGGGGATGGCGTCCACATGGTGGGACGGTGTCAAGGGGAAGTACGGTGAGGCCGTAACTTGGGAGAATTTCCGACAGGAATTCTTCAACCAATACTACTCCGACTTCGAGGTGAACTTGAAGAGGAGAGAATACACCAACTTGACCCAAGGAGGCAAGTATACCGTGAGGCAACTTGAGCACAAGTTCAGGGAGCTCGCGGAGTTTATATCGGAGTATGCTTGTGATGAGAACCGGATGGTGAATCACTTTTGGGATGCTTTAGACTTAGACGTGCGTGAACGGGCAACACAATTGCCTAACATGACGTTTAGTCAAGTGGTGGAGCAAGGCCTGAAAGGGGAGAAGGAATGGGAAGAAAGAAAGCTGAAAAACGTCGAGGAGGCCAAGAAGAGGAAATGGGAGAACACCGGCCCCCAAGGTTCTAGCAATAAGGGGAACCACGAGGGAGGTGGGTCTTTCAGAACGCCCGCACCACCATCTAGGGGAAATCAAGGCCTAGGAGGGCAAGGCTCGAGGTCGCAAGGCTCGGGCATTAACAGGTACAACAACTGCAAGAGGAACCACGCGGGCAAGTGCCGCGATCCCCCTAGGTGCTACCAATGCGGGGAGACGGGGCACTTGAGATCAAACTGCCCACAACTTGGGCGAGCCATGGGTGCAGGACCTAGCAGCGGGACCACGGCAAGTAGGAACCGAGCAGGGGCACTTCACGCGAGCACGACGCACGGAGGGCCAAGTACAAGTAATGCGCCATCCGTGAACCAAGGCAAGACCCAGGCTAGGGTCTATGCGATGACGGTGGCGGACACACGTGCTAACCCGGACTCCGTGGCGGGTAAAATCTTAAACTCATGTTATTAACTCCATTGTATGCAATAGGAGTGTTTGTAATGTGCAAAATTTGTAACCCCGATGGTTTGGTCGGGATTGTAGGGGAAAGGGGAGGAAAAATCCCCGCCCTGGGTAAATGCCGCCCGGCATTTGACGAAAGCCGCCCGGCTTTCGTCTTGATTTATTGGGAAAATACTGCGGCGGAGAATGCCAGCCGGTTTCCACCAAAAACCGCCCGGCTTTCGTCAACATTTAATCAGGAAAATCCTAGCAACCAAAAAACCGGCCGGCTTTTGTAAAGACCGGCCGGCTTTCATAAATGCCTGACCTGGGGAAATTTCTCGCAGCTGAAAGCCGCCCGG